TTTTTTGTCACAAATATGGAGCATTTTAATTCAGTGAATGATGTAGAAAAGAAATAAAATCTTAAATATCTTTCCATTGGTTTCTTTTTGTTTTTCAGGTTTTGTTTCTAGGTCCACTAACACTGTTCTATTTGGATGGGGTGCTTAAATTGTATTTAGGTATGTTTTTTGGAAAGAAAAAGATTTTGTGGTATTTTAGTACAGTACAAGTCATTTTGACATATGAAGATTGTAGGATCAAAGAGGTTGATATACTGATTATTTTTTTGTGCAATTTGATTTGTGTTTGAAAACAAATTATTTTTCCAGAACCCAAGTACTGGCAAGCTAATATGAAGAACTTAATATGGTTAAGAAATCATGTTGTGGTAGGTTTATATTGATGTATTTTCTGTGGCAGTAGGAATGGATAGTGACTGTGTTACTTGAGTAAAAAGTCCCTATTGTAAGTTTAAACTCTTTCTGTCCTACCAAAACAAACAATACAATTATTGGTGCTCACCTTGCAATGTATAATTGAATAAAATTGATTAAAAGTAATAGGTATAGTATATTAAGAATATTGCCTTAGTTTGTATATTTTTGTAATGAGAGCCTTTCCTATGCCATAACTGATGTGAAGTTTTGTTACCTAGGCCCCATTTTCAGAAGAGTTCATATTCAGAGCCTGTATGATCCCTTTACTCATCCCTTCTGTCGGTGCTGGCACTGCAGTGTTTCTGGCTCCTCTATTTTTTGGGGTTGGTAAGTAAAACTGAGGGGTCAATGTGTATGTATTTTTATATGATAAGTATTCTGTAGTAAATACTTTTATTGACTTTGAATAAAAGAATGTACGTAGGGTCGTGTGTGTGTGTGTGTTTATTTAATTGCTTGTTGATAAAAGTGTTGTCATCATTTGTACCAAATCTTTTGTTTATTAGGATGTTGATATACATGTTAGACTGATGAAGTGAATATTATATTTTTTGTTATATTTATTTCTATAGCACATTTTCACCACATGGTGGAGAGAGTTAGAAACAAGCATGCTGACCTTAAAACAGCTTTTCTCCAGTCATGTAAGTATGGAAAAGATGTGATTTAACTTTTATAAAGAGATAAGAAAGTTGTATTAAATGTCCATTGCAAATTAATTAACCCTATTCTTACAAATATTTACTTCATCTTTGAACTTTTTAAAGTACAAATTAAAATTTGTATGCAGCCTTTTGAATATGTTTATGAAGATCGAAAGTACACTTTATTTGAAGATCTACATTTGTTCTGTATTGCAGTGTTTCAGTTTTCTTACACAACAGTATTTGGTGCTTACTCAGCTTTCTTGTTTATTCGCACAGGTTAGTATCTTCATTTAAGAATCCTGGAAAATTGGATCATTAATTCTGAAAAATGTATGAAAAATGCATGAAAGAGAAATTAAGCAATACAAGTGGCATCTGCCGAAAAATAAATTAAAAAAAATAATGCACAACATTAAAAAAATAATAATCTAGCCTGCTTTAATTTGTGTTTATCAATCTTCTGGCTTTTCCTTCCAGGTAGTTTAGTTGCTCCAGTGGTTGCACATGCCTTCTGTAATCACATGGGATTTCCAGACATTGGGATGGTGTTTCAGTACCCTCCTCCACAAAGGTATAAGATCATGGCAAACTTTGTGATTGGACTGGTGTTGTGGTGTTTTCTACTCTATCCACTGACACATCCCCCGTTATTTTCCAATATAGCATACAATTTACTTCTTTGAAAGCTATGATCATGTATCTGCAAATACAGCTTTATAGTATTAAAGATCTCCTGTTCATTCCATATGCTAGAAGTAAAAGTTTCAGTTTGTATTAACTGATATAAGTTTTACTTCAAAAGAAATCTTTGAAGATATATATATATGAAGTTGTTTTTAATGGAAAAATGTATTTTCTGCATAATTATGAGTATTGTTATTATTGCAACAAAATTCTGTGCATTCAGTATTCCTTTTGCATGGATGAAGCATACTTGTATTTATGTTTCATAGATGAGATTTACACAAAATCTGTATAAAAAAGAGCAGTTGCTGTTATTATGTTAGTTAAAATGAATAATGTATATTTTTGCTATGTTATGACTGACTGTCAAGTTATTTAACAGTTCTAGCATACATGAAATCAGTATGTTTTTCAGAATGGTGCGAGGTTTGAAACTTGATGTGACAGAAATGTTGATATAACAAAGTAGTTAAAATATACTTTGTAGTTATTTCAACACATGACATCAATGGTAGCCCAGTGTATATCTATTGGTAGTGAAAAATTCCGTGCAGTTAGACCTAAATATCAAAGTTTTGTTAAAAAATGCAAATATTTGGAAATTACAATTTAATGTCATTTTATTTGGTGCTATCCTTCATTTTGCAATAGCCATAATTGGTTCATTTTACCAAATTAGTTTGATATGTTCAGATTTTTATATCAAGTATTACAGTTGTAGCTAGTGTTTAGTCCATTATTACTTGTGGGATACATCTTTGCTTTTCTCATTTGATGTGCTTTTTTATATGTTTTAAAGTAAAAAATGGTGTATGTGTTTTAGTTTATTTATTGTACTTGTATACTTTTCACAGTAGGTGATATTCATATTTTTTAAAGTGAAGCACTATGGGTTGGTTCACAGTGACTAGTGGTACTAGCAAGTGCATACTAACTCGATGAGGACTCCTGCAGAATGCAATTATCCTGAAGTTGAGTAGAATACAGAAAGTTGGTGATTATACAAGTACGTTGGAAACAAGAATTTTTTTATCTAATTGCATTCAGCAGGAGTCCCTTTGGAGTTAGTAAGAACTTGCTAGTACAAAATATTCATTGTGAATGCACCCTATGATGAAAGACTGACATTTAATTGCCACTTAAATGCACAAGACAAGAGAGCACATATATGCAGATTGAGAGACCATGTATTCATTTACATATTTACTGGTTAATCTCAATAAAGTTTTTATAAAAATGTCTGTGTGGCCAATTTGCTATATGATATTAAATGAAAAAAAAATGTTTTGGGCTATAGATCATATCATGATCATCTCTTTCTCTTTTTGTGAAACGGGGGCCTGATATCCAATATCTGTCTTACTACTGAAAGTGGTTGACCCAAGGAATGTGTCACAACATTTGGTGCACAGCAATGAACATGAATGTAATAATAATTGTGAGTGGCTTGCAGTTTATGAAATGTGGAGAAATATATAGCAAATACAGCATTCTTTCGTTAGATGCAAACACAACAACAGAAAACTAATTACATGAGGTCTTTGTAGCAGATCTACTAATCCAGACCTCGCTTTTGCTTTCACCAATTTAAAATGAGTAACTGCATCAATTTTTTCCAGCAGTATAAAGTATCAAATGCAGGTCACCAAAATCCCCATAATTTAAAGTAATCACCGAGTTCTGATCGTATTAAATTTTTATTAATTCACATGTTCACCATGAAAGGACATCCCCCAACCCAAGACTCTCCATAATTATGACCAGAATAACTTGATTTATGTGATGGACAAAAAGTGGTCATTACCACACATACTAAATGCTAATGTGAGATCCCTCCCAAACAAAGTGGATGAACTGTCTGCCATTTTACAGCAGTATGGTATAGATTTCGCATGCATCACAGAGAGTTGGTGTAATGACCTGATCCCCAATAACTGTGTGCAAATTCCAACCTACAACATGGTGAGAAAGGACAGAGAGCACAGAAGAGGAGGTGGAATAGTGTGCTACATCAGAGACTCAATCCCCTTCAAAGTGTGGAACAACCAGGACAGTAACTTTGAATCCATATGGGTAACTCTGAGGCCTACAAGACTTCCTCGAAACTTCTCACATATTTCTTTTGGGGCAATCTACCATCCACCAGGGTCTGAGAATAAACCTATGATCCAGCACATCATATCCTCTTCTGATGCAATCCTGAGGGCACACCCATTTTCTGCACTGTTCTTGATCGGAGATTTTAACACACTGCCAGACCAACAGATCAAACGAGCTTTCAGTTTGAGACAAATTGTGAGAAGGGGGACACGAAAAAACACCATACTAGATAAAATATTCACCAATATAGACCAATTCTACAAAGAGCCCGAAATTTTACCATCCATAGGCTCCTCCGATCACAATGGAGTTCTGTCCTTACCAGAAAATCACAACCGTATCCCCCGAGGCAGAGTGGAAAAGACCTACTCTCGTACATCAGGAAAAAATGAGAAAATTCNCGGGTCTCCATTGTTTGTCCGCCCCCTTCTATTCATAGTATAGGGATTAAAACGTTTTGACGTTTTTAAAACGTCGTACAACGGAAACTTAATTTTTATTACTACTGTAAATACCGGTGATTAAATGAATCTTCTTCAGAGAGCTTCATAAGCCTGTCTCATACAAGCGGCCATCTTATATATCTATATAAACTAAATATCTTATATATATATATATATATATATATATATATATATATATATATATATATATATATATATATATATATATATATAAACTGAATATGGAGAGAGAGAGAGAGAGAGAGAGAGAGAGAGAGAGAGATTTACTTTTTATTTCTGATTAATAAATATTAAAAAATATGAGATTCGCAACTCATGAAATATCTCGACCTCTTAACATTACATTGCGACTGTATGTCTGTCTGGTGTACACAACTTTGGATGTTGGTTCTTGCCCATTTCTAACTAATCTTTTTTGCCCTTTATACACATCGCATTATCCTGAGAAAGATACAAATGTGTTTTTTTTTTCGGTGAAATATGAATGTGTGAAATAATACATGGTACACTGCCACCCTCTCGCGATATACTTACAAGTACGTGTTGAACACTTCTCGATGACGTTCGAGCTGTTCTGGTACTGGTATACATATTGTTCGGGGGCCAGTTAGTCATTTCATACTTGGCGCGTTCATGATCACTGGGAATATTTGTAGTTACTGAGACATCGTTTGCAGTTTGAGACTGTAAATGAAACGTGTATGATTGTGTGATAAAAAAACTGAATATGTCTGTTATTGTTTATACATGCATTTTTGTTATTATAGTCTTAACATTCTTCTGAGCGCAATTTTTGCCTTTTATATGGATCCCGAATTCCCCATTTTAATTCTTTGTATCTTTAGGTGAAGGTAGAAAGCATATGATCTTATGCGTCCGCTTATCAAAAGAAATTCGGCCACGCCCTCCCACGAGTTTATTAAAGAAATTCTAAAATAGATCAACTTTTAAAAAAAGATTATATTTAAATCAAACATTTAAACATTTTAAAATCTCACCTCATCAAATTAATCCAAATTGTACAACAAACATAAAGTGCGTTCAGTTCATTGAATTGGAGAATAAATTAGGATGAAATTTGCATATAGAAAGTAACATCGCTGCGGATTCGAACTCACGTTTTTCTACGCTTTTGGTTACTTTATCAATTCGTCTTACCGATGAGCCTGTGTGGAAGCTGCTGCCAACCGACTGAAAATTACCGATATTTATGGTTTCGTGTTTATAATTATTGTACGGACATTAATTATGTAGGATTTGCATTTCTGTGTATATGTGAAAGGAAATTATGTCCTACAGGAATACATGTACATGTCCTAGCTGCGAATAAATACAGCTGGGAATCTAGGTACGGGTAGGACATCCTAGTGAACGCACTTCCATAGGACATGTTTTCCCAGGAACGGAGCTCCGCAGGACATGGGGGACATGCATTCCTTTCACAATCTGCTCTCCTTTGTTGAGGTAGCCTATGCGCCGTTTCTTTATCGTCGCTGACAAGTTTAGGATGAATAGGTGTGACAGATTGAGTATACATCAAGCTGGAGATGCACTGTTTCACATTTGAAGGCTCCTTTTCTCAATTCATTTATGGGGACCCCAAAAAATCTCAGCTGTAAGCGTCTCGAATACTGAGAGTTCTGATTTGCAAGAAGTGTTACTTGATTAAAATCCTCTCTCATTTTTCTATTTTCTGCTCGTAACAAGTTAAGTTCGTCGTGCAGCTACTCGTTAATTTCGCCAAGCTCGAATTTGAGGGGAGCTTTTTTTTTTTGATGAAATGGCCTAATTTATTGCCGCTCAAATTTTGACATCGACAGATTTCATCTTGTCCTCCAAATGTTTCTCAAAATCAGTAAGCATGCCTTTCATGCGTGATTCGAACTGGCTTAGAAAGTTCAGAAGATTCGAATCGGGATCATTGGTAAAGGAGTCAGAAGACACTATCCTATTTTCAGGCGTATTTGACCTACATCGTTTACATCCAAAAATGTTGTCAACAATTTTTCTTTGTTAGTTTTTATATATTGTATGTAAATAATAATGGACAGAGCGATAATTCTAAACTATATTCTTGTATGTTGGGACGCATTAATTACAAAATTCACGTTCAATACATAATATGATCTTTTTTCAAGATTTTTCGTTAACATTCTCCATTGCGTATCGCAATATAAATTACCAGAGAGCTGAAACATCTGCTAAATTCAGAATATAAATAATTGATGTCGTGGTTTAACCAGTCTTTTTTCTAGGATGAACCCTCCCTGGAATGAAAAGAAACAATTTACAAATCGCCTTTTAATTATGATCTTGCTTGGCCAGGTCTTATTTCTTTTTAATTTCAATTTCAGATATCAATCAAGTGATCGACGACCTACCCCAAGTGTAGAAAATAAAGAAAATATGGAAAACTTCTCAAAGTACTTAGCAGAAATGATACCCCAGGAGGAAGTGTCAATGAAACGCTCTCACCAGATGAGAAAAGCGATATCAGGGGCTGAATCAGATCCTAACAGATTGACAATAACGGAGTTGTTTGAACAATTCAGAAATTCAAACAAATTTATTGATCACTTTAAGGGAAATGCATTTGTAAATGCATTCCTTAGAGCCATCGAATGTTCTGAAAAGCAGGAAGCTGACTTCATGCAGGCAAATCCTACATGTTATAAATATGTTCCTTTTAAGCATTTGGAACAGGGGTTCGAAAATTGTATTCAAATGTTCGCCTGGCTAAGCAAGCTAAAGATAATACCGGTAGATATGCCCAGTAATTTTCAATTGAAGTTACTTGGTAGTACAGTTGACGGTCTTTCGATCCCTTATGCGCTTCACAAGGAGGATAAAACACACAACATCCCAATGGATGTGGATACCATGGTGGTCCTATCACCTCCATTTTTCCCGACAGTCACGTCTCGTAGAGAATCGGAGACATCAACAATGGGATCGTTGCTCGTGGATGGCCGTAATTGTCATCCCGGTTATGTCAAACTTAAGATCCAAGGCCAACACTGGTTGTTTGAAATTCCGGATGTTTTGGAACGTGATTATGGGGGTACATACCTGAGCAACACATGTGTGCAACATTACATCAAAAACATGAACTCAAGTAGTGGACCATTGAAAGAAATATTGGAAAAATTAAGAGTACGTGTCCATCTTCATGGCCCAGCGGCGACCTACGAGATGCTATCCAGTTTTGATGACAAAGACGATCTTGTTATTGCGGGCGATCTTGTTGCATCATTTCCGTGGAATGAGTTTCCCCGCGAAGCAAACGAATGTCTTAGTCGCAAGAGAGAGAGCGGTTGGCCTAATATGGAGCAAATCAGAGCCGTGAAAGAACTCGGATGCCATTTTGTTCCAGTTGCCAATCCTGGTGATAAAGATTGTCAAACCGAATGGAGGATCTCTTTTGCTTTAGCTGAGCGTCATCTTGCCTTGTCACTAAATCAAGTCCAGCGCCATGTTTACCGTATCATAAAACTGATATACAAACACAGGCTCGAAAGACTCGGCGTCCTTTCTACTTACCACCTTAAGACAACGCTATTCTGGTTGTGTGAGCGCATTGCCCAAAATAGTTGGACAAATGAAGAGATGGGGCAACGTTTCTACGATTTCTTTGATCTCTTGCTTGAATTTATCCGGAAGAAGTGCATCCCAAACT